CTGAGTATACCAGGAGTTAGTCTCTAGGACTAATTTGAAACTTATTAAATATGGAATTATGCTTGATTGCGATTTTGGGCATGGGATGAACACCATTGTGTTCAGAACAATCTCTACATTCCAAGATATGCCAAATTAGTAAATCTAGATAATTTCTATAAATAGCAATTAGGATCGAATAGAACTAACACAAGGTGCATGATAGCGAAAATGTTTGGCAGACATGGTAAGTTATCATCTGGTGATATTGAAAGATTAATCTCAATATACAAGGGTTCTTGTTAAGCTAATGTAAGATAAAACAAAAAAGAACTAAAAGCCAGGCCAAAGGGGGGGGACTTGTGGGGGGTTTCAAATGTATAATAGGGATAGTGGGTAAGTCAAGCATAGCCAACTAACATAAAGCATAGTCTAGCTCCTGCTTATGTGGTTATTCTTGTTCTACGTTTAACTTGGGTCTAATCTTAAGTTCACCACTATGCTAGTTAGTGGAGTACCCATATCTTTGTGTTAGGAGGCCACTGATATGTTGAAATAGCGTCATACTCTATTTGACTCCGTTTTGCATACTAGTTTTGGCATTAGAATGTTAGATGCTCTAAAACCATTCCAAGTCGTTTTATGCTCCTATCCCTTCACTCCTTGGGTTGTACATTTGAGAGCTGTTTCGTGCTCCAGAACCTTCAATCCTTAGCTCTATGCTTCGGAGTTTGGCTCCATTCCTTCATTCAATGGTCCAAAGCTTTAAAATTTAGGTTTCATTCCATTGTCCTTGGACATGTGGCATGTGGCACATGACATGTGACACATGGCACATAGAGGATTAAGTTCTACTTTATAGTTATCCTATGGTAAACCACCATAGAATAAAAGGTGAAAACCATATGTGCTATAGGAGGGGTTACTAACTTATTCATACAAGTACCCTTCACTATTCATGTGATTCCTTGTTTCCTAAAAACATTTCGGTGTCTAGACCTTTTACTACACCAACACCAATAGAATGTTGTTGATGCCAAAGTCTCCACCCAAGAAATAGAGGTCGTCAATATGGAAAATACTGACAATGTTGATAAATGTAACCAACTTTATCACATGTTCAACTTTGGACATCATGGCCACGACTATGTCCTCGCCCTTGTCCTTGAACTCGGGTAGCAACAACATCAACCTCTATTAGAACAAGACCATCTCCCATAGGAAGTGGAGCTAAAAGACATGTAGGAAGAAGTGGAAAAGGTAACTTCTCATAATATTGTGCCAAGCAAAAAGTATTATCAAAGGAGGCTAGAGCAAGTGTGCACAAGTCCTGCAAGATTTTGAGAAAGTGTTGGCTACAACATTCCTAACTTGATCTACTTTGACATATTTGGCTCTGCACGAAGCAAAAAGCTTCAGGATTAAACACTAAATTACATCATAAACTCATATGGCTTTTGACAAAGATAATGCAATTGTTAGAAGGCATCATTACAATTGTTAACATGTCCAAATGCATGTTTAAAGATGTCTAGGAGAATGCTCCAATCCTCACAAGTGGTTGCAATCAAACTATTGTACCATTATAGTGTAGTCCCTTATAGACATATGGGAAATTCACACAAACGCTAAACATCATCCCAAGAATGATATGTGGCAATCACTATGTGTCTATAAGTAGTTGAACCAATAGTACATATCATCCCCAAGATTCTCATGGCAGAACTCCGACCGAACTCAAGGATTGGCAGCAAAAGCAAGAAGAGTTGTACCACATACTGTGAATGCCACTATCAACTGAGTTTGATTGTTCAATTGCAATTGCATAGCATTGAGCAATTGCATTAACTACTACTTTAGAGTTAAAGGAAGAAGAGGTTGCTACTCTACCATAAAGATAAACAAAAAGGAAAAAGCAAAAGAGAAGAAACTAAGAAAAGCTATAAGAAAAAGGAGATCTAGATAATGAAAAAGCTAGATCTAAAACAAAATCCCACTCCTCAAGAATAATTAAAGTTGCCTTTCTCCTCCATCAATATGAGTGCATAGAATATGGAAACAAAATACAAAAATGTGCATATCCATTAGCCTAAAAATCCCTAGCTTATATACAAGAGTGAGTGGTCTGGAATTTAATGGCTATCAAAATCCCATTATGTTAATATTAATATACGGCATTGTAGCCACACTTGGACCTTACAGTAATTAAGGTAATTATTAATATGATTTAACTGGAATATAACAAAAAAGTATATATATATCATTGGATCAGTTTCTCATCAATAAACTCATAAACTCATCTTATTAAGTTGATTAGTTATCACTAGATCAATCAACTCATAGATAACTCAACCAACTCATGCAGGACTTGGATGGGCAGCCCTGCTTGCCCTGCCCAGCCTGCCCAACTCAGGACTTGGATGGGCAGGGCATCAGAGTGTATGCTGCTACAACTGACAGGGTGACCTTGTGGTTTTGAAGGTGCATGTGGCTGGACCACGTGTGGCAACGATTTCAGCTAGAATGTCCGAGCTCCCTTTTTTGGGACGTGGATCCCTTAGGCACACGTTGGAATTGTTTGTTAATCTTAAAATTTGTGAGCTGTGTGTGTAAGTGGTGTTTCAGTGAAAGAAATTGCAAATGTGGTGCAAGTTCATTGGTGTACTCTTTCTTTTGCTGTGCAAACTAAGAGTCACCACAAAAGTTCATCTCCCTCTTAATACGCTTTGTGATGTTATGAGAAATGTTGTTGCATTGGACAGAGGAGGCTCGAATTGGGGAGTTAGATCAGTGCAGAAAAGACTGTTGGATTTTAGCCTTTGTGTTCCCTGTGAAAATGTGAGGTTGGCATTGAATACTCTTGATCTTGAAACAGCTAAAAGGTGTCATATAAGCACTATCAATAGCCGACAATATGATGTTGAAGCAGCAATGGAGTTATGGTATATGGATTGTAATTTTTTTAATGTAATCATCTTATTAAGTTGATTAGTCATCAAAAGATCAATCAACTCATGAATTGATCAATCAATGAACAACTCAACCAACTCATAAAGTGATCAATCAACTCAGCATGAATTGATGTGAATTGATCAATCATCATAATTCAATTAGATCAAATAAACACTTTATCCACTGTACACCACTCCCCCTTAATGGGAGGATTGAATATCTTGATTGGTTCCATCAGAAGATCTAAGAAAGTGCAAAACACTTTTGAGCTCATGAGCTCCAAAGTTAGAGCTGAGCTCAATTTGTACTTCAAACAACCTTATTAAACCTTAGGGCCTTACAAATGTGATGAGGCTTGGGTTTAAAGAGGGGCTTCTTGGGTCAAGGGCCAGAGATGTTGAAGCTTGTTGCCCTAACAGAAACAAAATGCATGCCTCATAAGAGCTTGCAGCCCCAGGCAAAAATCAGTTCAGAAGTGAACCAGTTTTTTTCCAATTGGTTTGCATGCGAATCAAATTTGGCCAAACCAGTTCAAGTGCAAACCACATTTTGCCGAACCAGTTTAGCTAAGTCCAAATCGAGGTTGCACTAATGGCCACCTCAAGCAGCAAGAGGGGGTAGAGTGGTTTACTTTGTAAATTGAATTATTTTGGTTAGCACGAAAGTTTCTTACTAGTTTTAAGGTGTTAAAATTAGTTTTAAGGTTGAACTAGATTTTATAGTTTTAAGGTTTTTTATAAAAAAAAGAAAAAGAAATCTAGTTCGCATACAGGAAAATTTAGTTTGCATATCTACACACCAATGAGACTTTAAAAGCTAGAAAGTGTGTAGACTTTAATTTTAACAAACAGATAGCAAATTAATTGAGGATCTATATTGTTTCAAGATTTATAGTTGATTATGTTGATTTCCATTGACTTGAGCTCAATTGACTTCAACTCATGAGCTTAATTCAATTTTTTGGACATCTCCCTATAACAAGACAAGTTAATAGGTATCATAAAATATATCTATCTTGAAGATTTTGATGATGTGTTTGCTGAAATAACATGAGTAACTCAGCAAATGTTGGTCGTTAGCAAAGTTTTTTGTGGATAAAAAATCGTATATGCTTGTCAATCTCCTCTACATTGCTTCCAGAGTCTTTGAACCAGAGTACACCTGTGCCTTGAAACCTGGCTACCAGGCCCTCAAAATCCTCCCCCTTGGACGCCGGATCATAGCTTAGCTCGCTTAGAAGGCCAAAATTAACATATTTTCATCAACCTCGCTCCGTCTCCGAGCAGGAGCTGGCTTTTATGCAAAGCGGACAGGAGCTCCTTGAATTGGCTGTTTGTGACGTGAGGCCACCGCCATGCGTCAGGATCTCGCTCCACCTCCGCTTCCATGTCCTCGGTCCGGTCTATTTCTGGGTCAGGACTCCGATATAGCCAAGGACGAAAGTGAGGCTGCTCCGGTAATCCTTTTCCCAGTCCTCTGCCTCAACTGGAACGTAGCCTTCTTTGTAGAGTTTGGTCACCTCGCGTTCCACAGACTCTAGACGATCGGCCTCCTTGATCCTGCTCCGGAGAGTGGCCAGCGAGGTGGCACAGCTCGGCCCAGAGGAAATAAGTGCTTCGAACAACTTTGTCTACAATGGTGCGAAGCTTGCCATCGCTGCTTCCTAAAGAACCAGTGAGACTTAGTAGAAGCCTCAGTACCTTTCCCAATATTCTTCGACTGCATCCAGAGCAAGCATGGTGCCATCGGTGCTCAGTGCTCCCGCGGGGAGAGGCTGGAGGAGTGAAAAAGTTGACAAGAATGGAGAGGGCTTCCTCCGTGACGCTTGCCAAGGATGCGCAGGCACGGAGCTCGGCAGCGTTGCCCTTGAGCAGCGACGACAAATACGCCTCGGGAAGCCAGTCGGGATCGTTGATTCTGATTTACCTGCAATGTGTGGAGGCCTCTGGAAAGAGCAATGTGTAGGTGGTTCTGAGACTTTGGATCTACTGCGAGTACTTCTTTAGAATGACCGGTGGTATGGTTGGGAATGAGCGGTCTTATGATGCCGGATTGCAGAATTTGAGGCAAATGGAAGTCTTTTATTTCTTAACCCATTTTATCATCATCGTTTGCGCTTCTTGACTTCTTTTAAGGGGGACAAAATGTGGCAATTATTTCAGAGGCTCCCAAGCACGAATAGCTCGAGGTGTTTGCTTCGCAAGGATAAGTTGACGACCTTGGGCACGCGGCCTTGAAAGCTCTCGCGTATTGGCTTGGGCTGCACTTGAGAGGACAAGTGTATCTCCCCCGGCAGCAGTACTGATCCTCGTTGAGTCCCAGGCATGGGCTCTTGCAAGCAATCACTCGTCCAATGTTGCTCTTGTCCACCACCGCCAGCTCCTTGGGACACCCAGAGTTTGCATCGCTGCCGGATTTACAACCCGCCCAGGAGCACGACGAGTTCCTGGGAGCGATGGAGATGGCCAGATTGTAGCCCTCGAGCAGAGAGACGGAGTACCGGGCCGGGAGATTGAGCTGGGCGATGGTGGCTGGCGGAGTTCCACGCTTGGAGCAGGATATATCGCCCGAGCCACAGTCGCCTGTGTCGCAGATGAATCTGCTGGTACTGGATCCGGGTGCCTGGCGCCAGGAGCACCCCGTTCTTCCCCAAAACCGGCCCGACCAGTCACGCGGGACGAAGAGCGAGAAGGTCTCGTCCGCGCTGAGCTCGGTTCCACTCGAAAATGGATTCGACACGCCCGGGTCAGTGGTCCATGCTGCCCACACGGAGAAGGAGCACGAGTTTCTCAGTCGGATCAACACGCTGCTGTCTTGGGCTCTCGATCCATGCCCTGTGTCAGAGAAGGTTCGATTTTTGGATCTACGGAAGAAGAAGAAGAAGAGACTTGCCTGCTGCGAGTGCGAGGAGGAAGACAAGAGCAAAAACTCCACGACACATCTCCAACGTTGTTGATGATGACTTTGGGAATTGCTCATGCGATTCTTATAGCAAGCGAGCCATTTGACTTGAGACAGTGATGCTGGCGGGCGCTGTTTCGAAAAGTCTTGGTCTCATTGCTGCTGATAAGATTGACAGCTGCTTCATTGAGTGTGACCGATCACCAGCTTTCGACCGACAACCAGTGAAGGATTAGAATGGTCAATCCTTCATTTCTACGCAGAACCTATCTTCATAGGAGAATCATAGTACCAGTTTTGCGCTCGTACACGATCAAACTGAGGTCCTGGAGAACAATGAAAGATGAGAAAGAAGCTTCAGTGCACAAGATGGCTCTCGGTGGAAATTTTGTTTGAATAGATAAATTCTTATCAGAATTTGTTCTCGCTTCCTGGGTGCGTCTGGGTCATGTGCGCTGAGGCAAGTTCAAGAGCTGGATCGAACCACCATATTTAGCCCATCTCGGAGTCGGATGTAGAGTCCGAGGTCTGGGACTGGGCTTGGTGGCGTGGGCTAGTGGGATGTCGATCTGTAATTCATTGCTGTCATGTCTCTGTCCATATGCTTGTCGTCAGCGCTCCAGACGGGATGTGAACGATCTAGTAGCACACTACTTCATCTGTGAGAGTCAAATAGTATATCTACGCTCGGGCAACTTTCTCAAAAATCAAATATCAAATATGAAGTTTATGAAATTTCTATGAAGTTTGGCCTAAACTTGAGACGTCTCATGTACTGGACAGAAAGTGGCAGTTGTCTCCATATAGTTTGCTTCGCAAGGATAACCTTTCCTTGAAAGCTCTCGAGGGGCTGGACAAAGATCTGCCAGGGCAACAGTAGTGATCCTCGTTGAGTCAAATTTGACTTCTGATTTAGAGTCACCTTAATCTTTAGTGTCATGAAGTCGTCTGTTTTATCCAGGCAGTTAGTTGAGAGTCTGATATGGTCTTTGAAGAGAAGTGACCAAGAGATAGAGCAACCCGAAGAAGATTGATGGAGAAGCGCAAGCACAATGCCTTGTCCGTGACCGATGACATGTTGAGAGGCCCGATGAGATCATCTGGCTGCTGGCCGAGTCTCATTGCCCAGGATGCCATTTGCTCGCCTGCTAAAGCCACCCGATGACCACTGCACCGGCCCATCATTGAACTTACTAACTAAATCTTGATACGCGTCATTCAGCGTGTCCCTGTTCTCCTCAAACTTTGGCACAGAGCCCATTCCGAGGCTGTGCTTACTCTTGCAAAAAGAACCACACGTATAGTTTGACTGATTATGGCGTTTTTACAAAATGTGGACGATTAAATCTGCTGAGTAATCGACGCTGCGATCAAACTGGACAGTGGATATATCAGCCAGAGACGACAGAAGGCGAAATCCCAGACAGACTGCAGAACGTTTGCGGACATGGCGTGTGAAAAATCTGTTGTTCGTGAGATGAATATCGTGGCTGCAGATGCAACTATCTCCGACGGGTAGAGGCTGGTCGGAATAAAGTCGGCAGCCATCGTAGAACCCTATAGTAGCGGTGATCGGTCCTTCTGTTGCTTCGATGGCGTTGTCTCCAGAAACGTAATACTTGACAAGATCATTGCTTGCTGGAGACAAATCCCTCTCTTGTGGTGGCATTCTCCGGCTCGAGAACAGCGCCACCTCTCACTCTGACCAGAGCAATGCGATTGAGGCCACAACGCCGCGATCGCCCAGCTGCAAATCTGTGCACATGGAATGCGAATTCCGCCCTAGCGGTCCACAGACGCAATGGGACACACTCCATAGCTATCGAATGGCTCTAGGCGATAGAGCAAAGATCACTAACTGAAAAGCTGTGATCCGTGAGATTCACTGAAAACTATGAGCGTTCTTTACCCTCGTCCAAGCTGACCAGGAATTGCACAAATGTGTGAAAGACGTACCGCCATTGAAACTCAATCCCGGATAAGGCACGTGTACAATACGTGGCATGCGTATCTATACACACACACAAGTATTGAGAAATTCTTTTACAGTGCGAGAGTCGCGCTCTTGGGACAAGTCATATATGTCTTTGTCAGTTGCTAGCTTGAATTCTACCATCACCGTGTATCACATGCAAATAAATATGCAAGAAAACACAGAAACATAGATATGACAGACGAGCAAAACAATGCATAGTATAATTGTTCAGCGACACAATCTCAGAATCGTCAACACGGAAAATCCTGTAACCCATCTGCAAGAAAACTTATTTTTCCCTGAGATTTCAATTGGTTGCTAGCGAGCAAGAAGCGTGACACTCATACATAGCAGTGCCAATGGGCATTGGCAGGGGCAGCGGCTCACGGAGCGCTCTCTTCAAGCCCTCGGGCTCCAGAATGGAGAAAGGGAGTGGCTTCTAGCCCAAGCTTTGCTATTGTCCATCGCAGCTGCTAAAGCAAACATTCAAGAAAAGTTACAAGAACTGAGGGCAAGGAAGATCTTGTCATCGGCCTTGCAGCGCTAGCTCAAGAAGCCCTCGTCCAAGCTCACCCATCCCAGATCGCGATGTAGGAATCGAGCGCTGTCGCTGACCTTGGGCGCCCTGATTCTTTATATGCAGTCGAGAAGCGTGGTGCCTGGAGCTTGCAAGAAGGGTGCTGCTTCACGGCAGCTTGATCCGGCGCGAGAACTTCACCATCGCCAACCACACAGTACCGCCACCTATTTCCTTATAACCTAATGTTTCAACTTTATAAGGCTCTAAAATATTCGAATATTCTTATACAACTATTCGGACATACTTTTCATACTAGTCAATCCTGCTGACAGTACCGCCACCTATTTCCTTATAACCTAATGTTTCAACTTTATAAGGCTCTAAAATATTCGAATATTCTTATACAACTATTCGGACATACTTTTCATACTAGTCAATCCTGCTGACAGTCAAATGCCATGCCACAAGGGTTTTGTCTTGCGCGATCACAGGTATGGCGCATTCTCGGCCTTGCTCGGTGACGGCTATGGCGCATTCTCTGCGGCGCTGACGGCACTCTCGCATCGAGAATGCTGCCGGGGCGATTTGGCGGCGTTGTTCTAGCGCCGGTGTCGGAGCTCCTGGCCAGGGTTCTCGTCCAGATCGCAGAGACAGTCGTGGCGGCGAAGGATGTGCTCATCGAGAAGGAGAGCTTCAGCCAATTGGCCAGGTATTTGGAGAAGATCCGGCCGCTGCTGGTGGAGCTCCAGGACAAGATCGCGGACGATGTTCCTCCGCTCAGGAAATCGCTCGAGACCCTGAGCAAGGAGATGAGGAAGTCGCAGGAGCTCATCGCGCACTGCAGCTCCAAGAGCAAGATCTACTTGCTCATCAATTGCCGCTCCATCGTCAGCCAGGTCCAGGGAATCACCCAAGAGATTGGGCGGTGCTTGAGCCTGGTGCCAATGGCGAGCATGAATCTCTCGGCCGACACGAGGCAAAATGCCATGGGTCTTCTCCAGGACATGCAAAGCGCACAGTTCAAGGCAACTCTCGCGGGGGAGGAGATCGTGGGAATGATAGAGAATGGAGTGAGGACGCGTCGTCTTGACAGTAACTTCTCCAATGATCTGCTGCTACAAATCGCTCACGCGGTTGGGGTTCCAGTGAATCCAGTGGCTCTTCGCCAGGAGCTCTTGCAGTTTAAGAAGGAGAAGGAGGAGATAGAACTCCACAAGGACCAGGCCGAGGCTTATCAACTCGAGCAGATAATTGGGATCTTAAACGCGGCCGATGCCGCGACCACGGCAGCCGAGAAGGAGTCGACGTACAGGAGGAAGAAGAGTTTCGGGGGGATTCACGCTCTACCTCCACTTCAAACTTTTTGCTGTCCGATCACGCAGGAAGTCATGGAGGATCCCGTGGAGATAGCTTCTGGACAGATCTTCGAGAGGAGTGCCATATCGAAGTGGTTCTCGGCTGGAAAGAGGACGTGTCCGACAACCAAAGTGGAGCTGGACTCGCTGGAAGTGAAGCCGAACTTTGCTCTTCGCCAGTCCATCGAGGAGTGGAAGGAGAGGAACGTTATCATCGGTATCGGAGTTGCGCGGTCGAAAATTCTTTCGGATAACCAGGACGACATTCACAGTGGTCTTCGTGACTTGCAGAAGCTAAGCGAAGAGAAGTCCCTGCATCGATACTGGATTGCCTCGGAGCGCCTCATTCCTGAAATTGTAAGGCTTCTCAAAGATGGCGGACGAGATACAAGGAGAAGGGCTCTAGAAACGCTGTGCAGTCTTGCAAAGAGTGACGAGATCAAGGTACTCTACTTTTTCTTTTCTCTCTCCCTCTCCATCACTTCTGAGGACTCTCGTGTTAGTGGATCAGGAAGAAATCACGGCAGAAAGCGCCATCCCGATCATCGCTCGCTCTCTAGCTCGTGACGTCGGGGAGAGCAGGCAGGCTGTAGCACTGCTGCTAGAACTGTCGAAAATTCCTACGAGCTTGGAGCAAATAGGAAAGGCTCAAGGCTGCATTCTGCTTCTGGTGGCCATGCTGAGAAGTGAAAATTCGAGCGCGGTGGAAGATGCTCGACAGCTGCTGGCAAACTTGTCCGGCACTGACGCCAACGTTATCCAGATGGCCGAGGCGAACCATTTCGGGCCCTTGATCTCACGTCTAGATGAAGGTGAAATGCTATGCGTTTTTTCTTGTTCTGACAGAAGTTTTGCAGGGAGTGACGCGACAAAAATTCTCATGGCAACTGCGTTGTCGGAGATGAGCTTGACGGACGAAAGTAAAGCTACGCTTGGCAAGACAGGAGCAATCCAGCCTCTGGCGAGCATGCTCTCTTCTGGTAAGCCTGAATTCCAACAGCCAGCTCTTGGAGCTCTTGCGAGCTTGTCAACGTATCCTAGCAACAGGGAGGCCATGATCGCGGCAAATGTGCTACCTCCGTTGCTCCAGCTATTGTTCTCCATTGCCTCGGTGGTGATGGCTCTCAAAGTACAGGCCGCTGCTACGATAGCCAACATTTCTTCGTGGGACGGTAGTGTAGCTGGGGACCAAGGGGACGTGGTAGACAAGTTTAGGATTCTCCAGAGTGAGGATACAGTGGCTCGACTTCTCGCGATGCTCAAGCTCACGGATCCTTCGGTGCAAGCTCACATACTATACGGACTGGTGGCAATGTGCTCGAGAAGCAGCGCCAAGACTCTCCGACTAAGTCTGAGACACGCAGGGGCCATGGCGCTGCTTATCAGCTTGTTTCTGGAAGCCGAGGATCAAGAGGTTAGAACAGGTTCCTTGAAGTTGGTGTTTTGGATCTCCAGGGATACCACAGGCAAGGATCTGGCCTCGCACGTAGACTCTCCATGCATGGAAGCTCTAGTGAAGTTCATCACCTCTTCGCAAGACGCTGGAGCCAGCAGCGCTGCCTTGGGAATCATTGGCATTCTCCCACAGGCGGATGCTCAAGTCATGCGGCTCCTCCAACAAGCCAGGGTTTTGCCTGCCGCCATCGACGCTCTCTCCGAAGCTCTGTCCAGGATCTCGACCAAGGAACCATACAACACTCTCCTCGAGAACGTAGCGGGAGCGCTGTTACTCTTCACGAACCCCTCCAACGTCGAGGTGCAAACGCAAGCCGCCGGAGTTATACCATCGCTGGTGAGGCTGCTAGAGGTCGGGACGCCGCTAGCAAGGTCCCGGGCAGCCACAGCGCTGGGACAGTTCTCGGAGAACTCGGGCAAGCTGAGCTCCAGAGCTCCAGCTTCCAGAGGCTGCTGTAGCCTCTTCGGGCCTCGCCGCGACTTGGGCTGTCCAGTTCACGGTGGCAAGTGCTCGGTGCGATCGTCATTTTGCTTGGTGGAGGCGTGGGCGATCGCGCCGCTGGTCCAGACGCTGGGTAACGAGGACGGTCTCGTTCACGAGGCTGCGCTTGGGGCCTTGACAACTTTGCTCTACGATGATACGTGGGAGAATGGAGTTCACGTCATCGCGCAAGCGCAGGGCGTGAGGCCAGTGGTGCGGCTGTTGACGAGCGGGAGCGCGGGGGCCAAAGAGAAGGCGGTGTGGATGCTGGAGAAGTTCTTCCGGTTTAGAGAGTACCAGGAGGAGTATGGCAGGGCGGCCCAGATGCCACTGATTGATCTCACGCAGAGAGGTAGCGCGTCGACAAGGCAGCTTGCTGCGAAAATCTTGGCTCATCTGAATGTTCTTCACGACCAGTCGTCATACTTTTGAAAAAATCATCCTAGATTTCAACCATGCGATGATGGAATATAGGCTTTTAAATATATAAAGACAAGCTCCAGCTGGAGCTCCACCTTCTCAAGCCAAACAGGATCACTTACATGAACAATCCTGACTAAGAATCACTGCTGCTTAGCATTGTCACTAGCTTTGTTGGCGACCTTTGCAAGAACCTCTGCTGGGCTGTGGCCACAGGTTGGACAATTCACACAGATTAGTTGATCTTGAGCAATTCTTGCTGTGATGCACTCTTCAAACACTTCTAGTCACTATTGCACCACCAACCTCCGCTCTACGCACTCCAAGGCTGTTGGATGAAGCATCCTTCCAAAATCCTTTTCTTTTATTCTACTCCTTTCACTTTTACACATGCTGGAAAACACCCTCTCATCAACCTCCCTTCCAGCCAAATATTCCACTATAAAGAAGGATTACTCTTTAGCTGGCTCTGCAACAAATCGTCTTGTCTTGCAGCCATGGAGGATGGCTTCAACTACTTCGCTACCAGGATCACAGTCCTGGCCACCACCCACCACTTTGGCTCCTCATCCTTGGCCACGTCAGTGCCAGCAGATTTAGTCTTGTGCTGTCTCTGATCTGGGCCTGCAAGATGCACAATAATTCCAAGTGAGTAGCGGCACACCAGGCTATTGAAGTTGTTAATAAGCATGATGGCTGGAAACGGGCAAGCTTGAATGGCTATGATGGATGGGGGTATGCCCCATCATATGGACCACATTATTCTTAAGATATAGAATCTATTTGGAGGATGCCGCTGTCAATGGTCTTGATTTACAAATAACACGCCATACCATGGACGGCTTGGAGACATGAACCAAGTACTTAAGCTGGTCCAAACACGCTCGGAGACAGGCTTGCAGCATATAACATGTACAGAAACGTGTTATGACATGACAGATATCTTCTTCTACTACAAGGAACCAAAGGGTCTATTAATGAATCTACTTAGCTAAACACATTTTGTATTAGTGATAATTATGAAAATTATAATTAAACATGTATTTATGCCTAATACAAATATTATAAAATATATTTTAAAACTTTTTGAATTGGTTTTTGGTTTGCTTAAGCAAACCTGTAGGAGGACTGAGATGGTAATGAATATACTTAGAATATGCTTGAATATTCTTGGATATTCTATCATCCAATGGTGGTTATTCATTTAGATTAATTTCATATTTATAATTTATAAACGTGTTTATAATTTATAAACTTTTCTAACCACTTTATATCATCATGAGCATACGTGGTTTTTGGAGCATGAGCCAAAGAAACTATATAATGTATAGTGCATTGGTTAAGCTCTATGTCCATAATGGCAATTACAAGGGAGCTCTCAAAGTTCCACTGCCAAGGCCCTCAATCCAGGATCTGCCATGAAGCAGAGAATCTAGAGCCAAGATGGACGAAGCAGCCATTGATCCACATGAAGGGTAGAATGAAAAATAGGAGGAGCACTCATAGAGGCCTCCCAGCCTCAATTGTGACAAGCATGAAGCATTGAAACCAGCTCAGGGATTTGAGTAGTGCCCCCTCGAGATCAATCATGATGCTATCGTCATTCCCGGCCGCTGCATTGTCCACTGGCTCCAATGGATTGCTCTTGTCCCTAGGAAGCATCAAGAAAATCATATTTGGACTAGTGAATTGATTGAGAATTGGCTCTCCCTGGAGGTTTGAGCTGAGAGCCACGATCCAGGATCAGAAACCCGCTATGGTGGTACTGATTGATTGCCCAGAATCAATCAATCAACCTGGAACGCATCTATGGATGGAGCTTAGATCTTCCTCAGTATGGCTCCCTATTATGTGAGTGGGCAGTGGGTAGAAAACAAAGATCAGTGGAGGACAATCTTTCTATTCCTATTCATTCCTCTTTTCTAAAGCGACTGATAGAGGGAGATTGTAGCAGCTGAGGAGTACAGTCAGGCTGCTTCTAGCTTCAGCTTGGTCGATGATGAGAAGTATCTGGCAAGGATGTTTACAAATGAGGAGAGTCAGTGCACGAAAAGGTTGAAAAGGTTCAGAAGCTGCCGAATTGGTTTATTGTCTACCGTAACCCTAAGTTTGGAAAAGTTGACGGATTTTAATTTTTAGCTCAAAGTTTTATTCTTTTATGTTTTTGATTCTTCAAAGTGAAGTCTAGTTTATTTTAGGATTTTTTTACTAGTATAAATTAACTAGAGGTAATTCTATTTAATCAATCACATAGATATGTCAGATTTGGATTGTGCTATGGATATTGTTCAGTCATCACCAGCTGAGGATTTGTCTACAGAATCAAATTCTTATGAAGGTTTGGTTTTTCTCTTTATTCCTTAGTATTTCTTGATTTATTTCTCTTTGGTTTTGTAGTTTCACAAGCAAAGAGGACAAAGTTGACCATCCTAAAAGCCACTATTGCATCACTTGTCTTTGAAAAAGCAAATTCAACCAAAATTCTTGAGCTGAAGGTTTTATCTACGTATGGTTTTGAAATCGTTTTTTTTCTGTAGTTTTGATTTGCTTTTTGCCTAGGTATGGAACTTATAAAGTTCATCTTGCAAAGAACACTCTGCGAAGTGCAAAATACTTAACTTATATAATGGATTGTACAGATATGCATGGCTTGCAAACTTTAACTATATATGGTGATTCATCCATGTGTGCATGATTATATAATAAATTTATGGTTGGTAAATGTTTCTCACTTACAAGGTTTGTAATTTTTTAAAAAAAAATTAACAAAATTATAATTCTCTCACTGCAGATGGGTTGAACAACAGAAAAACCCAATTTACCACCATGGAACTTCAGAAAAAGTTCTTTATATTACAGATTCTTCTATCATTCAAATTATAGATGATTTTGATGTTAAATTAAGATTACAGCCAACTAGAGGAGCTTCTATATCATCTTTAATGGCTACTAGAGTTTATCCACAAGCTATACATGTTGTTGTAATCAACACTGGTGTTTTTCCTAAAATAAAGATTGCTTCTTCTGATAATCCTTTGGACGTAACTATGGTAATGTTTTTTTCTATTTAATTTTCTATTTCTAAGATATTTTCACAGCTCTATATGCATCTGGAGCATGAAGAGCAATATCATCATATTGTAGCAGATTTATATGCTGGATATATGCCAAAGTTTTTATTTTTTAATATTATGAAAAGCATGAGTGCATCAGGTGATTTAGCAACACTTGGAAATACTTTATTTTTGCCACTAGTTGATTCAAACGAAATTCAGAGGCTCAATGAAGTTTATAAAACACACCGTGGTCTCACTTCTAAAGACAAGGTAATGTAAATTGTTTACATCTACTTTCAAATCTAACTTCCAATTATACAGATTAGTGGATATTTCATCCCTGACAACCAATAGAGTCTCACTCAAGCTGAAAGTCTTTGCTCATTTTGCTCTTTCACAATGTTAGAGCAGAGAGAAGATGGTTTTGTTGTTTGCGCAAAGTGTAAAGGGCGTTCCATCCCTCGTAAATCAGCTACAATAACTGGTTCTATTATATCAAATGACATGATGGAATATAGAGTTACAGTGCGTGATAAAATGGTGGATAAAATTTATAATTTGGATGAAGGGTCTATGGTCAAGTTTGCTATGGAGTCCCCAGAAAAGATTGCTATTTATCTATCTTCAAAACCAACAGGATTCTTTCTATTGAATGAGGCAAATATTATTGTCCATTTTGAGACACCAAACAATTCAGCTATGGAAATTGCCAACAACCAGATACAATTGTCTCTTGTCTATTTTTCAATTGCTTTCTCTATAATACAAATATCTATTCATGAAATCTTGCAATGCTTCTCTTAACAATTTCTAGATTTCAAAGCACACAAACTAGAAATCCCATGGCAACGACTCACAAGATTGTTGCTGATTGCATTGCACATTCAATTAGAGAACTAATATGTGAGAATGATCGTGCTCTTACTGGATCCTACTGGATAACTTACAAAAGAAAAACAAAACAGCTTAGAAGAAAGTTAAATGGGAAGGCACACATACATCAAAGGTTTGTTTTGGTTCTTGGCCCTCGATATCCATCTCTGGCAATGTTGAGCTCTCCTTCACCCTATAGTAGCTCAAAAGAAATCATTTCAAGTAGAACCTACATCAAGACATCTCACTTGACATTTTGAATAACTTTCTTTGGACTTGGCTACCTTGTCCAGAGCTGTCACTATCAGTAGAGCCTGAAGATGCTCTACTGACAGTGAAAAAAAGAAATCATTTCAAGTAGAACCTGCATCAAGGTATATAAAAAAAATGTCCTAACGAGAAAGAAAGTTACAAACTACTTCAAACCATCTTTACGTCCATCGACTTTTCAGGGACTTGTCATTGGATGTGCGAGGGTTTTCCACACCCAACCCTGTAAACTGAAAACATCATGCTAGATACCAGTCTCCATAGTGAGAACAATGTTACTTGTTTGTGGAATCATCCTGCCTAGTCGAAGATATCTCACTTGACATTTTGAATAACTTTCTTTGGACTTGGCTACCTCGTCCAGGGCTATCACTGTCAGTAGAGCCTGAAGATGCTCTATTGACAGTGAGAAAAAAAAATCATTTCAAGTAGAACCTGCATCAAGGTATATAAAAAAATGTCTTAACAAGAAAGAAAGTTACAAACTACTTCAAACCATCTTTGAGTCCATTGACTTTTCAAGGACTTGTCATTGGACGTGTGAGGGTTTTCCACAGCCAACCCTTGCACGTCCAATCAAAATCATTTCACATGGATTCTTGGGCAAGACCCAAGAATCCATGCGAGGTAGTGGCGTTAAACCCAAAAGAGATCTAGAAACAATACAATTGAGCAGGCAGTCAATTACCTAAGTATGCATGAGTCTGGTACTTGTGCTCACATTTCTCTCATAAGCCCATTTTAGGCCCATTTAAATAAAGACTTAATATAGCTTTAGGGCATAAATGGCTTTCAATGGAATAACATTGAGAAGTAAGTAAAAGGTCTTTGACTGGTCTAGATTATCAATTATCAGCCTTCACAAAGCTGTTGATTGAAAGATAGAGAATTAATACTTGCTGAAAGTAGG